AGACCAGAAGATGCTGCAGGTGGTTTCTCTGTTTATGTTTTGCAGGGGGAACACATCTTTGTTGTCTTGTTTTGTACCTTACCCGAGTCCAACACCAAAACAAACCCAAATAAGCAAAACAGAGAAATAACTTTCTTACCAAATTGTCAACAGGTGGCTGTAGTTGTGAAATGGTTCAAAGGCTTGACTAGGTTTGTTTTTTGACCTGCAGTTAATCTTTATAGGTTTTACTTTATTGCTAATGCGAACCTCTCTACTTTGAGTTAGCAAACATTTCCTCTGAGGGGTGTAGCAGGGTTAGTTACAACTTAAACAGCATCATGACTTCATTTAAAGGAGGTTTTTAGTGAGAGAGCATGATGCAAAAATTGAGACAGAGAAGCCATTTTGGACTATATTGTCATTCAAGTCTCACAAAGCAGCAAAAGCCAGCTTTGTAGCCGTGACAGCTACCCTAATAGCCATGAGGGTTAGCCTCATAACCGCTAAAACCACCAACTTTATGCTGTCTTCAACCACCCTTAGGACAATGAAATAGGGTGACCATATTCTGAATCCCCCCCAAAAAGGACACTACTACGTGGTTACCAGTTACCTCTACAGCCAGCCCTATAGTCGTTGAAACCAGGCTAAAAGCAGCTACAACCAGCCGTTTAGCAGGTTGTAGCTGCTAGCTATAAGCTGGTTGTGAAAGCCATCCCTATAGCTGCAAGAGCTAAACCTAGCAAGACAACCTTTGCTGCCAGAACTTTTTGTTTTTTGAATTTATTTATTAATTGAGGTCGAGATCTCTTTTACAAAGGTGACCTGGCTAAGAGTTCAGCAGCATACGTCAGCAGGCCCAGCATGAGCCGATAGCAGCCAGTTGTTGGCTAACAGTTAGCCAGTTGCTAACCGCTAGCCACAGCCAGCTCGTGTTGTGGTGACCGAATCCTTGCGGACCTGCTTAATACAGTCTCATAGCCAGCTGTAAAGTAGAGCCAGCTTCTATGGCTGGAGCCAATACAGCTTGTCAGGCCTTAGTTATCATAGCCATCATCACACGCTTGATAGTGTGCTCACAAGGAAAAAAAGAAAGTTATCTTTGTGTTTTGAAAACTGTTAAAAGTCAGTAATGGCATATTAGGGACTTACACTTCGAAAAAGCTTTTCATAGGCTAATGAACAAGCCTTACAGCCAGTATAGAAGTGTCTATTTATGAGGGTCTTAGCAGGTGTAAACAACAGAAGAAAGAAAAAGAAAGAGTCATACCCAGCAGCACCTGGCACTCATGTATGAAAATTAATTTGCACATTTCATTTCAGCAGACTAATGACAAAAGCAATCAAGGACTGATTTAGTAAATTAAAGTATATTTTTTTTACCATTAGTAGACATTGTCCTCTATGTAGATTAAGACAGAGTACCTCAATGTTTGAACACAAAGAGAAACAATAACGCAGATTAAAATTTTCTCCAAGGAGCTTAATCATAAGTCCAGAACCTGTGATGAGAGATCCTCTGAAATCTGCTGGATAAACACGTTAGCGTGAAACCTAATCTCACCGATGTGCATAATTTACAGTTATTGTCACTTGACTTAAGTGGGGTTTGGTATTCAAACAAGTTGAATCCCCCCTTGAAGCTCCCTGTATTAGCATCCTGCAGGCAGAAACAAAGTGCTCTGTAATGTTTGTATGCAGGGAAATGATGAGATGCAAACTGCGTGTGCGTTCTGAGAGGCAGACGGGCTTTACTGCTTCACAGGAGTGAATTCAACTCAAGGAAAGTAGGTCAGGGAACAAAAGAAACATCAAACTTTCCTCACTGACTGTGTCCCGACATTGTTTGACTGTTAAAGTACATTGTGACGTGTGTCACTTCAGCGACTGAAACCACAATAACTTCAAGACCTTCATTATTTAGGATTTAAGAGATCACTTGCACCACCTTCAGTTTTATGAAGGTCTTCTCCTCTTGAAAATGTGCAGGTTTTGGCCAATCTTTTAACTCCTGGCCCCCTCACAGAGTCCTCCTCGCCATATAGTTAAATTTACGTCACATGACACTTAAAAATTTGCTCAAGCACTCTGGATTTGGTAGATTTATGATTTTTTTTTTTTTTAATGCTGGGGTTTAACTGAGGAATTCATCCATACTAAAGCTGACATTAAACAATATATCAGGTAGTAATAGGAATGTTGGTCTCACACAACCTCAGTTTCAAAGGGGTGAACTGCTGTAAAAGTCTCTTGTGATAATTTACAATGCAATCAAAGCCTGAATTTGATCAAAAACAGTACAATGACAACATATTAAATGAAGGAAAATTACTATAGGCCTTTATGTTTATTTTCGGGTCTAAGAAGTGAAGATAACCTTAACCATGAAACACCAAAAAGTTGCCGTAGCTAACATTAAACACCTGGAGGAGCATCTTCAAACCACTGAGGTTTAATAACATCAGGTTAGACTAGATATAAAAAGGACTTCCCAAAGAGACTGGGTTTCATATTCAGAGAATCTAAATAAACAAGGCTAAATAAAACTAGGCAGCATTGGCCCCAAGCACTTCAATAAAAGGAGACATGACTCTGAGGTGTGACTCACCGAGACTGACCGTATTCTCAATCCCCAAAAGAGGACACGACTATGCGGGAACGCACTAACAACTCAGTAAGTCCACGTAAAAATGATGATAGTCGTCAAACTTAAAACTTCCAGACAAAACCCTGGACGTTTGAAGGCAGCTCTTCACTTCCAAACCTCCAGTTGTTGTTGGTCTCCATGGTTCCCAAATGTTTACAGAGAGTTGTTAAGTTTGTTATCCTCCTATCCCAACTTCTTTGAAACGTGCTTCCAGCTGAACTTTTCAGTTTCAACATTTAATAAGTTGTCTTTGCTGTATTCAAAATTAATTATAGGGTTTTGATGATTTGCAGACCATTATGTTTTCATCACCTTCTTACTCAGCCTCTTAACTTTTCTGGAAACAGGGTTGTAATTACAGTCTCTTCACGTGACTGTCATTGAATCATTTACCGGAGATCTTTCCCGAATTAAGCCTTTAAAAGGTACCAAGAGTCCTTTTGTTTACCCTAGAAGCAAAAGAGGAGGACCGATTTAACAGAGCGTAAATATTCTGGCACGTTTGCCCTAATCCTGTCTGCTAAGACTTGGTGTGCAGGGGAATACATTTAAATATTTAATTTGCTTAAGTGTGCGTCATAGCCCTGAAAGTGTGTCCTTAAATAGTCATTGAATCAGGCAGTGAGCATGAATACAGCTGCAGAAAAAACAGCCTTTACCTCCTGCCCTCAAGTCCACTTCAGCTCCACGGAGAAACTCAAACTTTGGGAATAAATCCAAATCTTTGCATTTTCAAATTTAATGACTTGGATGTAAATATTTATGTTCTCTGTTACTTTCCAAGTCGATTTCAAATTACAAAGTGTCCAAAATACTTTGCAAGGACATAAATCTTTTCCCTGTGCTTTGCATGCTGGGATATATGATGAAATGGAAAATACATATATAAGTTTAAAACTATGTGTTTAATTTGGATTGGTAATTAACCACGAATCAAAGTTAAACTAAGCAAAACAGAGGCTCGGTTGTGATACATGCAGCTCAGCCGTACAAAGTTTGGACTTTGAATTTGGTCTGAACAAAACATAACGAGCTCTCTATCTTTTGTCCAAACCGTTATCTGGTCATTGTAAGTTAATGTGGTTAGATTGAGATCTGGTCATGATTTATAAACTGCAGATGTTACATAATCACTGCCGGAGATTACAGAGTCCGCATGATGTCTGCTGATTATAGATGATTGCTGTGCAGCTGCAAAGGGACCGGATCATGAAGAGGTTCTTGACACTTTTAGCCCAAATGATCTTTCCTCCTGACATAACTCATTTAGTTTCAACTCAATTTACTCTAGAATGTGAAAAAAAGACCATAAAATTAATGTTAATGCTTCAAAGTCAGGTGTCAAAATTGTTATCATTTGATTAAAACTTTGATTTTAATCTAATAAAAGCCTCTCCTTATATTAAAACAGCAAAATTTACATCAGGTGACACATTTCACGATCTCACATTTCATGTCTTAAATTCACGCTTTTATTTTGAAGTCCGAAACCCTTGTCTCTGTTTCAGATGTGATCCTGTCTGCCCTGGCCCACAGTCTTGTCACACCTGCATATCAACTGTGTCACCCCATCTGTTTCCCATCACCCCTCATTACCTCTTGTATTTCACTTGATGCCTTAATTACTTATTCTCAACTTAATCTACTCTTAAATGTGAAAAAAGAGACAATAAAATTAATGTTAATGCTTCAAGGTGAAGTGTCAAAATCTTATCATTTGATTAAAACTTTGATTTTAATCTAATAAAAGCCTCTCCTTATATTAAAGCAGCAAAAGTTTACAATAAGTGACACATTTGGCTGGTTGGGTTTGAAAATACTTCTTTAGTATGTCCAGAACAAGATTGGCAAAGTCATTATTTGTACTTTTTGCTCAACCCACATAAGGAGCACTAAGTTAGATTGGTTTGTCCTCGAATAGTCTGTCTGTGCTCAAAAGACCCTGCGCCTTTTACTTGAGTATTCATCAAATTATGAACCATCAGTCCCAGCTTATTACTTAGACTAGTTTTGTACTATTATAACCCATCTTCTACTATAAAAAGTGAAGATAATGTAGGAGCACAAAAAAGTCTCAGTTTCTCAGGTGTCTGCTTAGAGCTGGCTCTAGGAATCTAGAGCTCAGAATGGCTCAGAATCTATATATATAACTATTATATATATAGTTATAATATAATATAATAACTATTATATATATATAATATCTATTTGAACAGCAGAATTAAAACATGTTTAAAACCTGGTATATCAAAAAAAAAGTTTTTGTCTCTTTTTTTGTCTCTCTTGAAAGAATTAAATGATTAAACAGCAGGTAAATATGCATAACAATAAAATGTAAAGTGTCCTTTCCTGAGAAGATTAACCACGCTCATTTCAGACCATTACAAACATCACTTTATTTGTGAATAGTCACGTAGAAATATGACACTAACATCATTTGATAAATATCTTCATACAGCTTGATCACGAGTTATCACAGTTTACATTTCAATGAAACATTTTCACATGCAAGACCACCAGAAGGTACTGAATGAAGAAACGTCCACATACTCTGTAGTTCTCTGCACAGACAGGTTTTGATCCGATGAGTCACAATTTGACCTTTAACCCTGATGCTATGTAAGAAAAATCAATAACGCAGTGTCAAAGCTTGCATGAAATTTCAAAAAGACATTGATTTCAACTCTCCTTGGAGATGTGGTCTGAACAAGGCCAGTTTTTTAAGATGTACAGTGTCATGACAGTGTGATCATAAACATAGCCCAGCAGCTGTCTTCAATGAAAGAAAAGAAGGAAATAAAAAAACTGAGATTGCATATTAGCGAGTTTAAGCTAATGAGAGAAAATACTGCAAGGCTCGATGTAAACACAGCAAAAACTCAGTGAAGAGTAGTTGAATTGTGCAGTTTAAAGCTCCCATGAGTGTTTTTTATCAGAGTGTGAAACTAAACAAGGACATCAGTAGCAACACTGATCATTTCTAATATGAGTATTTTGAATTCTTCTACCCGTTGTCACCGGGTAGTTGTCCGACCAAATAGTAAAAACCACAAAAAAAAAAGTCATTTTGTAAAATTTCCACGCCAAATACTCACAAGAAGAGGAATTTGAGCTGTTGAGCTGTAAAGCTGTTTGAGCTTTAATGTCGTCTAGAACTATATAAACTTCTGTATACCACATGTCACCAAAATGAGTAAATATTCTTTGCTTTATCATTTTGGTGAATCTCTTTAGTGATATTTTTGTTTATTTTGAGTCAGAATGATCAAGTTAAGATCAGTTAATTATTTTTACTGTAATGGATAATTACAGAGCAACAAGGACAGCTGCAAAAGTAGAGTAAGTTGTACTTTGCATCATAGACTATAATAGGACATGTATATATGCTTAAACTTTTTATATGTAGGGCACTTATGCGCTCTTATTTAGTTTAAGCTCTCCACAGGTTCGCACTCCCAGCAGGCTTGTTTGGAGGAGTGGGTGGAGCTTGTGGTTGGTCTCTGTTGAGAGCACAAATATGACCCTGCTGTGACTCTGTGGGCTGTTTGTGTTTGACAACAGTAGCAGCTTAATCTGGGCTTCGTGACGCAGACTCAAATATTTTTCTGTGATAGAGTCACAACAAACCTCTATCATTAAAGAAATACTAGATAGCTTATAAGGAATGTGTTTTTATACACACATCACCGGACACAACATAGAAACACTTAAATAAGTATTAAACATTTTGACTTCATGGCACATCAAGAGTATCAAAAACAGAAAGTCTTCATCATGTTTCACATTTATCTCTTTTTGGTCTCCTTGTTTTAACACCAGGTACAAACACGAGGTTTACCAGCGTTAACTCTCTCAAACATCGTCATCTTTGGAACCATCCTCGGGTCGTGTCTGTCGACTTCCTGTTTACGCTCCGCCTGTTGACTCCTGCCTGTTCACACAGTTTTTCTTCTCCTTCTTCTCCTCAGCAGCACTTCTCTGTGTCAGACACAGATCTTTGATCAGTTTGGAGTTGAGGAAGCGTCTGTACGAGTCTTTTGCCATCAGAGTGTAGATCATCTTCTGCGCTTCATTAAAACAAGACGGGCAGGCGTTCTCTACGTTCTGCCGGGTTTCTTCTCTGGTGGCTGCGTCCAAGTTTACCTGAAATTACAGAGGACAGAAATGAAGGATTAAAATACTGAACACAACCTCATATTTCAACAGTCTACTGGAACAGTTTAGCAAGTCTTAACAGAGGCTGCACTCAGTCTCAGAAAACAAACAGTACTATTTCTGATTGGTCAAAAATGTATAGCCATCAAGAAAAAGTCACGTTTTTATCTTTTCAGTGTTAAATATTAAAGAAAAGACATATTTGGCTGTCAAAAGTCAGTAGGATGGGATTTTTGTAGTCTGACGACACAAAATGAGCAAAGACTGCTTGGTCCACAGGGGGGCGCCAAAACTGACACAAACCAAAAGTTCCTCACAGGAGCTTTAAGTGGTCATTTTGAAATTAAGCAAAAGTTTAACCTCAGAATATGTTTCAGAGTATTTGCTCAAGTGCAAATTGTTGATGTGTGACTTTTTTCCTGTTATTTGTAAAAAGAAAATCCACTTATACATTGATCAGTGGTTGACTAGTGATGCCTATCACTAGCAATGTCAGTCAAGAGTGATGTCTGCCTCTTAGCTGGCATTACTGATCCAAAATTGTCTCTGATGAAATATCGCAGAAAGGAACAGAAACGCCCTCAGAGAAACCAATAAAAGTATATAAGATTTTATTTTTCAATCTTTTCAATTAAAACATGTCAGAAAAACCAAAATGATTCCGTGTTATTATGGCGCCCCCTGTGGGCGAGAAACAATGTCATCTTACAAGCTTCTTACAGTCTTGTTTAATTTAATGTAAATAATAAGAGGGGGCTGTTTCTACCCTCTCTTACTGGTCTCAAGCATTGAAATTGAGCACATCTCCACCTTAAATCTTTTCACTGATGGTCAGATCATAAAAAGGTCCCAATATGAATTTCAGTCAATTTCATAAACATCAAAAAACTCCTTATAGGAGCTTTAACATCTTTATTTGTATCTCCACTTGTATTTATTTATTTCTTAAAGGATTAAACTGGGTCAGTCGGGTGGCAGTGCTCACACTCAGCATCAGATTTCCCAGGATGATCACCATAAAACCACAGCGCACTTGACTTTAATCAGCAATGAGACTGAACGTGAATATGCATTCTCACACCAACATGACAATCAAGAAAAAACACTCAAGGAGTTGTCAGCGTGCAGCTGCATTAATAACTTGCACAGCGTCGCCTTTTTATGATGTCAGAATTTGAAGGACTACTGCCGCTTGTGGTTTAGCTCATCTTTTCCCTCTCTTTTGTCTCTTCATCCCTGTTTCGTAATGACACTAAAACACATCATCGTCAGTGTTACCACATGTTTCTGATTAAAGTAACTACCTCATTTGGAGCATCAGCTTCAACAAACTGCTGATAGATCTGCTTGGCTCTGGTTGCGAGCTTTGAAGGGTCAGTTTTCTTGTAGTCCTCACAGGCGACCCAGAAGTCCATGTTCTCCTTACTGAACTCTGACTGCAGGAAGCTGGTGAAGACTGTGCGTCCACCTAAGAGGACAGGGACAAACAAGAAAAACATTTTTATATACAGTGCACGTTGGGAAAGCGTCGGATTAATAGCTGTCTTTCAACTTGTGCATTTTCCCAGGAGAAAATAAGCACATGTGGAGTAGAGCCAGGAAGCAAAAAGTAGTGTAATTATACAGATTTATTATGTTTTACGGAAAATGAAAAAAGATGCAGCAGGGAAAAAAAATACATCCTGTCTTCCTGATACAGAAGATAAGTGTTTTCCAATAACCGCAGAAGTTAATGAATGTCGGATCTGAGCCTTTGAGGGACTTATATAATTTTATCAAAGTGATTAACTTAAGCAGAAGACAAATGGAGGAGACCAAGATAAACACAAAAAAGAGGATCAGACTGATGGGAGCTGACAGACGAAGTCGGGAAAAGCCGGAGGAGGAGGACATGACAGGAGTTAGAGTTCAGAGGAGGAGGTCATGGAACGGAGCGGGTCAGAACTCAGCTGCTTCCCTCAAGGCCGTTGCTCTCCTTTCGTGTCCCTCACTCACACAGTGTAACTCTCAGAGGGCTTATATATGCACACACACACACAAAGACGCACACACACATGCACATGCTGCACTGGTCAGTGCGCCCTAAGGGGCCGATGAGTAGTGCCTTGAGACACGTAGCAGAGGAGCAGACCCTGAGAATGCAGCAGAGTGCCTGTGGGTTTGTATATAGAGCCCTGTTTCCATTGAGCACTTGAGCTCATTATGGTATGACTTATCATCCTCCTTTTCCTATTGGCTAAAGACGGTGCCAAGACTGCGCCCTGAGAAACACTTTGGTACCTGATGAGGTGCACTAACCAGAAGCTTTTGCGGTCATCTAATTTCTAACCAACGCTCACCCTGCATTTCTAAACGTCCTGCAGGCTGACACCAAACTTAACATTTAGGCAAATTATATTAATCATTTTTTTCAATTTGGTGCTGCCATAACATCAGATTTTACATCTTTGTCACAGGAATTCAAAAAGATATTATTGCAATATTTATGGGAACTAGAGAGAGAAAACAGTGCCTTCAGTCAAACTGAAGAAAGCCAAGGTAAAGGTGGAGTGACACCTTATTTATTTCAAAGATTTTACCATAAACTTTGGCCTCTCCATTCACAAATTTTCAAATTGAGCTGTTCAGTTCATTGTTCACCAAAATGACCGATAATCATGGGCTCTATTTCCACTGCTAACACAGTTTGGTCCATGTCATTCCCCCTCTCTTTTCCCCCTAATAAATGACAAAAGTCTGTTTCAGCCGCTGTTGAGCATCATGAGTGACGCTGATCTGGTAGCAGCAGTTAAAGCCTTTCAAAATTTCCATATTAACCAACCCAGTCCTCCTCCTGATGGTCTGGTTTACTTTTTGTAGGTCATACTAATGCCTTATTATCAGTTTCAGCCTGTTTCATAACCACAGAAATCTCTCCAGGGAGCCTTTAATTTGGAAAAAAATCGGGGCCAATCTCCTCGCTGTGAAAGATAAACAAGTTACTGACATTTTCCTGCATCATAGTCCCTCATTAGATATGATGTCAAGCTACTTGTTTGGCAAAAACTTTGTTTCCATTGTAAAATGGAAACCAGAACCAAGGAGATCAGTTTCTGGACTTTTTGAGATTGAAATCTTGCCTCATTCTTTCCTCATATAGTATATCAGCTACTTATCTGTTGTATGTTTGTGTCATGATGGGCAAAAAGGTATTCTAGTGGTGACAAGTTAGGACTGCTGGCACCCTAATTCTTCTGCTGAGTGCAAAATGTATTCAGGCATATTTTTCTGTATGTGGCTCCAAAACCTGTCTATGTTACTCACATTAATGCTGCCTTCCCCTGCACTGTTTTTCAAGTGTGCACCGACAACAAGCTGCGTCTTTTAAGCCGAGAATAAAGTGTCAATGATTTCCAAAAAGGTTATATTTTGATTTGTCAGATCATGAGTCATTTTCTCACTTTGCATTGGTTTACTTAGGGGTGTCCTGATACAGCTTTTTTACTTCCTATACGATACAGATATTGTAGCCTTCAATATCGGCGAATACCGATATTGATCCGATATTGGCACAAACTTGTGCATGACAAGTTTCGCACTCAGCTGCAACCTCTTTTTCTGACTTTATCGGAAAATACTTCCACAAAGCCGACATCACTCCTACTGCTTGCTACTATGTTTGTACCTTAGTACTCACTGTTGTTGTGATCACGTGGGCTCTGCCTGCTAGCTACAGGTGCCAGAGTGGAGTCTGGAATGGACTGCTTGTATCGGAGTGTTAATATCTGAGATTTTAGATGCAGGTCGATATAATCCGATATTCGTATTTTGGATGATATCGGACCGATATCAAATATCAATAGCGTCTCATATTGTATCCTGTCTGGATCATATTAAGATAGGTTTCCTTTTTGCATGGTAAAGTTTTAACCTGCATTTGTAGATACAGTTTTTGGATGTGGTTTTGAGCTCATGCAGTGATTTCCACTATAGAGACATGTCTATTTTTGATGCAGAGTCTCCAGAAAGTCAAGATTATTTCATGGTCCTTGAGTACCAGTTTTTCGTCTTTACAGAGATTTCTCCACATCCTCTAAATCTTGAGTATCATGTACTTCTGATAAACAAATCACTGAGAAACATTACTCTGGAAGTTCTGATCGATTTCCTCTCTCACAAAATGTTGATTTTTTTCCCTGTATTTACTTCTGAGTAATTCTCGTCATGTGACTAACTTGATGCAAATGAATATACTTTATTGGAAGTTGTTCCTCCAAGTTTTATTGGTCAACTGTGGGGGGTTCTTCTTCAAGTCTACGTTGTGTTTGCTTATAATACGCATTTCTTCTCCCAAAACAACATCCTCAACTTCCTTTTAACGTCTAGACCACGAAATTGATTTATCAAGGGATTCGAGCCGATTGATGTGGCTTTACTGGCACATCTGTTTTATTGGTTATATAATTTGCAAAGAGGACAGAAGAAAAGCAAAACTTTTGAAATTGACAAAACGTTCCCGTCAAACGCTGTCAAGGAATGTGAAGGTCAGGGCCCTTTTCCCATTCTATTCCCAAGATTACAACAACAGCGGGTCACATGAGGATAATTTCATTAAGTGCTGTTTTTTTTAATCACAAGAGAGATTCTGTCGGGAAAAGGATGAGGCAAACATCCGCATTCTGACTGAATCCTCTGGGTTTAATATGGATCGTAGAAGCGGGCTCACTGGCCTTATTTGGGTTAAATCTTAAAGGTTAATATTTTTCTAAGTGGGAACATTAGAGTGACACTTACTTCCACTGCTCATCACGTGGCTGAAAGACTCCCTCCATTTCTCCACTTCAGCTGCAGAAGGAACCCTGAAATGAAGATTGAAAGAGTTTGTAAATGAGGTTGAACAGATTTAAAGAAAAAAGCTTCCTGTCATCCTCCCCTCATATCCTTTCTTTCTCAATAAATGTGCACTGCTAAATGTAGAACCCAGCTGCGCCTATTCACTTATCATTAATGGAGACAAATCTAATCACACGTGCGCGGGACACGTCATCTGACATTTACAGTATAATAAAGCCTCCATTAGCAGCTGAGGAAAAACAGCATTAATGACAACAATTAATGGCTGCACGTGCGATTTAAAAAGAATAATCGATATTTATAGCCATCAGCGCGTCTCTGGGGCTCTGCAGCGTGAACAGAAGCTGCTGAAAGTGAGTATGGGAAAGCTGTCAGTGAGAGGATCACATGTTGCTGAAAGGGAAAGGTCAGGGTGAGAGTGGTCAATGCTAACCTGTTCAGAATATAAACAGAGGACACGTCACCGAGGGGAGAGAGGGGGACATGGGTGAGTACCAGCAGTTCAAACTGCAGAGAGTGCACGCAAAGTAAAAGAGTAAAAGCATTCATCATCAGGAAGTAGTCACTTTCTCCACGGTGACGCAAAGCAACACCTGCCGCCCTCAGAGGAAAGCAACACTCCTGAACCGAAGTATTAAAAAAACATGCCGAAAATGATCCAATTCTGTTTTCCAGTGACTCAAAGCTCCTGGGAGGAGATTTGAGCTGGTTGTAAAATGAATCGAAATTAATACTGATGAGTCTTTGTGCAATGAAGAAGCACAAATGTACCGTTAACAACAACAGTGACTGTTTTTTTTTATATCTGACACCAGAATCAGCAAGACACAAGACAGACTGTCCTTACAGGAGCTTTAAACCGTCTCATTTATTCAACATTGAAGCCCTGAATAAATCTGAGATACTTCACATGCAAAAAAAGTCCAATGATTTTAAGTACATTCAGTCTGAAGATTCACACACATTGTATTTTCTGGTAAGTATACATCACTAGTCCTCAACCTTTTCATGTCCTGATCCCTAAGGTGTTGGCAACCCCACCCACCTGTAGCTGCGTCTAAACCTGACAACATGACAGCCTAAGCTAGAGCCGCTCCTGCATCCATCACACAACAAATACACTGTTTGAAACAGCACCTGCACAAATTCACTGCCACAGGCAAAGTCCAAAACATGTTATTAGAGCGGAGGATAACAGTTTTGATGATGGTTTCCTAGTGATTCTGCTTTTTGGTTTCTTTTTACAGTTTTCTACTAAACGGCCATTGCTCAATGATTCTGAGGCACGAATTAATCAAGTTTCCGAACAACTCTTGGCCAAATGTTCGTCTCAGAGGAGGGGGACATCATTCATCAGTCTCAAACCACACTTGTTAAATCTAACCACTGAATGAATGGACACATTATCCACAGGCAGAGCTTCACATTTCATTTCTTGACAGATGAGCATAATTCAACTGAAGTGCTCTTTGCACAACTTCCATCATTTTACTTTGAAAAATCACAGATTGAAGTGCAGTTCATTTGTTATATTCAACGCAAGATGAGTGAGCGAGTTTAGTGTTTCATCTCTCTCATTGTGGGATTTGAGGGATAAAATCAGGCATCTTACAACATCCACAGGCTCAAGATTACATGAATCCCTCTGACCTTTTCGCAGTTATCTCTTTCGTCTGTTTCTGGTCCGCTGTTTGGGGTTCAGGCTTCTGGAGCAAGAAGCTGATTTTGTGCTTGATGTCTTTGGCACTGTTGGAGAGGCAGAAAAAAAGACTGTGAGTGAAGATTGCAGTTTGTTTGGAGTACAAATATCAGCACAAAGACACACTTGTAAGACAATCTGCTTTGTGTAAGCAAGAGATTAGCGGCTCTCTCCGTTTTTCTTTAGTTACTGTTGTTCTCAAGTGATCTCACAGGGTTGAAATAGCAAGTGTTTGATTTCAACTCAAAGTTCAACAGAGCTTCAGATTTTTCCAAAGTTTATTTTATCAGGAGTGTAACAACAGTGTCAAACTTTCTTACCTTTTCAAGCATGTTGCAGGAAGAGTTGCGAGTCCTTTACACATGGTCGAACGTTAAAAGATCCAAAGTCGGTGCGGGCGTTACAAAAGATGTCAGAGAGGCGTTGGTGTGATTATGAGCAGGCTTTGCTGGTATTAAAAAGCAGGCTGGGAGTGTCTCCACCCACAGTAGCAGTTACAGTGACAGAAAACTGACCAATCACACCAGACAAGCAGAGAGGGAGAGAGGAAAAAAAGAGAGAGAGAGAGAAACAGAAAGGGAGGGAGAGAAGTTGAGGAGACTCTGCAACAGCCTGAATTCATGTATCCAAAAGCACAAGATGTTTTTCCTCGGAGGGAGGTGTCCTGATGATGTTTTGGATTACCACACTCATCCTGCACATGTGGAGAATGGCAGATGGCAGTGAATCTTTCTATCCTGAACTCTTTGTGCACGTGTAGACTTGTTTGCAGTCTGTTCGTTATTGTTTTATGTGCATTTGGTCAGGGGCTGTTAAGCTTGGTCTGGCTCCATCATACCTCTCTGAGCTTCTCCACCCCTACACCCCTGCTCGGTGCCTCAGGTCAGCTGATCAGCTGCTCCTGGAGGTACCGAGGTCCAAACGGAAGCTCAGAGGGGATAGATCTTTTTCTGTTGCTGCCCCAATTTTATGGAACAAGCTACCCCTCCAAATTAGAGAAGCCCCCACACTGTCCATTTTTAAAACTCGTCTTAAAACCCATTTTTATTCATTGGCTTTTAACCCTCCATGAGACTCGGCTCCTGTTTTAGTGTTTTATGGTTTGTTTTTAGTTATTTGTTTCTATGTTTTTAAATTAGTTTTTAAAAACATTGAAGCTATATTTTATTATTAATTCTGCTTTTATTTTATCCATTGTTTTAATTGTTTCTTGATTGTTTTTTATCTTGTTGTTTTTGTCCTGTTATGTACAGCACTTTGTACAGCTGTGGTTGTTTTAAAGTGCTCTACAAATAAAGTTGAGTTGAGTTGAGTTGAGTTTGTGAGTCTGCAGAGGTGCAGACTAAAAGAGTGCATTATGGTGTAATTAAAATGTCTGCATCAGATGATTTGATAGCGGATCAACCCTGTGCACACAAAAAATCAAGAAGAACCTGCGTCAAAATCTACAAGCGTGTTTACAAGTGTGTGAACAGTAAAACTGCGAGTGTTTTGTCCCTGCAAGACTTTGCATGAGCACATAAGACAAGTACAGTGTCGTGTTTTCATATTTAAGTTTTAGAACTTGGTAGTAAAACACTCTCTTTGCACAAAGTGTCTGCAAAGTGAAAGGACAGCCTGACTCTGGCTGCATACTTTATTGTGATCTTTCAGATGACCTCTTTCCACAGTTTGCACCTGATGCAAGTTTGTGAACAGCAACAATTTGATTGTGTTTGATTGCATAACAAATTAAATAAATAGAAAGATGTAAACTGTCTCTAAGCTGGTATAATACATTAAATGGCAACACTAATGTTTATGCTGCGTTCCAGTTACCTTGGAAGTCGGATGTCGGAGCTGGGAATGACGTTACACCCGAGTTGACTGTGTTCCAGTTAACGAGTCGGAAAACCAAGATCGATGCCTACTGTTAGCCGTTACTGCGTTTGAGTTACCTCGGAAGTCAAAAGTCCGAGCTGAAAATGACGTCAAACCCATTCCCAAAGTTTCGGTTACCAAGTCGGAAAAAAGCAAAATTGGAGGCCTGAAACAAGATGGCTACATTTATGAAAGTTATTTTAGTGCTTGCCTTATATTCGGACAAGGCAAGCACTAAAATAACTTTCGTAGATGTAGCCATCTTGTTTCAGGCCTCCGATTTAGCTTTTTTCTGTCTTGGTAACTGAAATGCTGGGAACTCGGGTGTGGCGTCATTTTCAGCTCGGACTTCTGACTTCCGGGGTAACTTAAACGCAGCATTCTTTACAATTGTCAGCTGTCGTTGGCTGTTGTCAGTTGTTGTTAGCGGTTGTCAGTTGTTGTTGTTAGCGGTTGTCAGTTGTTGTTAGCGGTTGTCAGCTGTTGTTAGCTTTACCGGTTGTAAACAACGCGTAACACAGTATTTTAGAGTCAGAAATCCAACTTCAGGGGTCGTTCCAGATGAATCTCTGACGCGGAGCTCGGAAATTCCAACTTCCAAGTACAACTACAATATTGCACATCTTTCCAAAATGATATAAATGTGTAAAAAATTTGGTTTTATGAGGTACTCAGTGTTGGACACATACTGTGGATAATGCAACCAAAGCACCAAAAAGAAGCTAAGCTGTGCACCACTGCAGAAAAACATCAGTGGAAACCAAGGGGCAACCTTTAGAGATGAAAATTGAGCCAATGCATGAGAAAAAAAACTGCCAATAGAGCTAACATACTGCCAGCGGGGTTGAAATAACTCTACATAAACTAAAAGCTATGACTGCAACACACACTACAGTCTCTTTATAAAGTCTAATTAATGGTTAGAAATATTCATTTGTAGGGGTTTTGTTACAACCTAAAGGTATAGCTGCGCTGAGCCGCACAGACTTTGTAGAAAATGAGAATGATATTCATTGGTATGATCAAATTACTGAACCAATCTTAATTTTTATGGACCTAATAAAAGCCTTTCAGATCTACATACAGAGTGGCTCCACTTCCTTCAGAGGCCATCAAATTTTTACAAAACTCAAAATGGACAAACTAGCAGCATTTGCAGAGGTGATTCAGGCTGTTGGTATAAAAGTAAATAAAAGTGCATCAACCCACAGAGAATTTGGATCCATGATTGGTCTCTAGCAGCGTTTTAAAAACAGTTTTTTTTTTATTTCTGTCTCTCCTTTACATTCTGTGATCAGACAGTAGTTACATAACAGAGCCTGACTGAAATAATAATGAGCTGGTCAAAGTTTTATCATGTTCAGGCGACCCTGAACAGTAGGCAGCCTGGAGGTTGGAAATATTGGAAAAGCTCTTCAGACCCCTAATAATCTCAGCACAGGAGATATGAATAAAAAGGTGGCCTGGGGGGTCCTCCGCTGTGAGATTCAGAGTGTCTAAGGCAATAATTTCCCTGCAGTGTGGTGAATATTTTATCAACAGTTACTGGTGGAAATAAAAAATACATGATAATATAAAAGTACGAGGAAATCAAGGCTTCACACTCTGGTACGATCTGGTTTTCTTTATTTTCCAACAGTCATAAAAAGAGAAGACGTTAAAAGCGAATTAAATGATAGAATAAAACTTACATTTAAAAAAAGACTTCCTGAAGTGTGAGACTATCCCTTTAACTTTCCATGTCAACTGAATATATCATGGTTAAATGACCAAAAAGGCACCTTATCATATTTTATCCACTTACGACATCCAAAAGACGCTTTATTTTAATATTTAATGTGCTGAAGGGACATCCAGAGGGCACTTTTTTTCATTTGATCCGCCTTTTTTCATGAACCACTACTGAAAGTTTTTTAATTTATTGATTGATTTTTTATATTTTTTATGTTTTATTCATGTCTGAAAAATCTGAGAGGATATTTTCACAGTGTGAAAGAGGACACCAGGAGACGTGATTTTTTCTGATATAATTAGATTTCTTCAATCTTGCAGAATGAAGATCATACTCATCATGCATCAGATGAGCTTCTTGTCCTAAAAGGCCACTGTTACTTCAACAATATAGGGGGTTGAGCAAGGGGGCATTTTGATCAAGAATCTGACTGCTATGTATGACCATAGACTGTATATAGAATTTTCTGTTGACATGTAGTTACTGTAAGACTAGTTTGTGCTCAAGTCCTCTTTTTTTCTGTGCAGCTCCATTTTTAAGAGTTATTCGGGGTTCATTTTTGTCTCTAATTACTGAAACTTCAAGATTCTTACTGAGGATCATTGCTCTGAAATTGTTGAACGCTCACGCAGCCTCTCACAAAAGCAGTGAGGTCTGACAATTTATTTAACTTCTGACCTCTGCGGTGAGTAAGGTTGTGGTTTGGCTAATCAGGTGCTTCCCCTTAAAGTGCAAACAGACTGACTATGTTGTTGACCCTGAAATCCTGCAGCTGCCAACAAACTCCAGTTTGTATTTTAAAGCTCGAGGCTGATGAGCAAGCTAGTGTATTACGTGACTTGGGATGGGAATGTAGTGAGGTAGACTTTCAGACTGTTTTAGTTTCCTAGATTAGAAAATCAAGCTCTGAATCTCTGCCCCTCCATCACATACAGACAGTTTCTCTGACTGGAAAAATAAATAAAACATCCAAACAAACAGTTTTTTCTTGACAATGTCATTTTACAAATGCGTGACATTTGGCTCTGAATGAGGATGTTTTGTTTGTTTATTCTATACGTGGAGTTGTTTTTGGACGAAAGTGCATCGCAGGCCTTGTGAAATTGCATGTCAGAAAATGACAGGGTGATGGTGGGAGGGGGACAGGCACATTTATCAGTCAGGGAACCATTTGTCAAATTCTCAAACAATCATTACGACTTCAGCTGTGATTGCGCTCAATTTCATTCCTAACTGTTTGCATTCAATCTTCTTTTCACAAAAGGGACCCATTGGCAGCCCTCCCTGCTCTAAATGCACACACATGTTGGTTACAAATCGCAAAGCTATGTCTGCTTATCACTCGGGGAACATTTCCAGGCTGCTTTCAGGCAGCAGATGAAGAAAATTTGTGTGGAGCTACAGATAAAATAGTGAGGTCATGTGTTAAAAAGGTATCAGGAGGACGAAAGAATGAAGTGGGCGGTGATGCTTAGTTTCACGCATTCATCAATCACAAGGTTATCCCTCAAACTTTGAAGTGACATCGCCTGCCTGTAGCTTAATCTCATTTATCCATCACCAGGGAGTGAGGCTGCAGATGTTAAACAGCAGTCCTTTTCAGGTCAAGATGAAAACGCAGATGAAAGCAGCACTCACAAATCTTCGCCTCTTTAAGACTTCACAGTCCCCCAACGCTTTAATCACAGGATAAAGACCTGGGGGTTCAGGTTCAGAGACGTTATTTCTTTGCGATCTCTTGTTCATTTAATCTTTTTGATTATAACTTTTTAAATATTCATTGAGTTTAATGACCTTGCAAACAGCAGATCTCTTCCTGTGGCTCATACAGTAATACCCATACACTGTATATACTATGGACAACTTGGCTCCGAACGATATTCAAAGTCACATGACCTCCTGTTCCATTTTCTGGAGCGATTGAGTTTGTCCTTTGTGAACGCAAACTGGACCAGTTAAACAATCAAAAC